TCCACATCTAACCCAGAGACACCGACTCATCCAGAATAGAAGATATATATCAGAAAACAGCTGAGCTGCTGGAGCTCTGCTGGCCTGTGTGGCTAACAAAATGCTGGTCGAGATGTCCAGGGTGCCAGGGGATCAGGAAAGACAAATGTCAGCGTGAAGAACAGATTTGATCTTAGGGAGGAAGAGACCCTGCAAGGAGGGGAATTCAGCAAGAGGAAAAGGGAGCAATGGGCTCCCTAATCAGAATAAGGGGAAAGCTGCTACAGCCCAAAGGGGGTTGTTACACGCTCAAAGGCACGGCCCAGCGGCTCACACACATAATCCCGGTAGTCAGGAGGCAGGAAGATGGCAAAGTGGCCAGCCTGGGCTACACAGTGAGTTCCAGGCCAGCCTGAACTACCAGGAAAGACCTTGTCTCAAAGACAAAAAGGAAGGCAACAAACAGAAGAAGTCAAACCTGGCAGGAGGGAAGAGGTGTGCCTGTTGAGAACATTTGCATTAATTACTGGAACAAGCAGAACATGATACCTTGTCATCCAAGCCACCTCTAAGAACGTATTATAATTAATAAAAATCGTTTCAATTAAAAGAGTCTGTTTTGAAAGTAGAAGCAAACCTGTCTAGGGAAAATACAGAGGAGTCACGGGAGGAGGAAGAGGGGAGGAAGGGAGGGCATGGGGTGTGGGGCACGCAGTGCATATTTGTGTCAAGGTGTCCTTATGTAGCACAGCACCATGTACAACGAGTGGGCACAAAGAAAGCTAAAAACACGAAGCATGTTTGAGTGTGTAGCTCAGTGGCAGTGTTTGCCTAGCATGTGTGATGCTCTGAGTTGAATCCCAACCAATGCATGCAAAATAAACACTAAATAAAATAAATAAATAACCTGGAAAAGAGGAAGAAAAGACAGTAAAAGAGCATCATTACAAACCACGGCGAACAAAATCAGCAGGTTAAATATAGTTATCGATCCAGTGTTCTCACCTAATCAAAAGGGTCGTGTGCAGTGGCTTAGAGCTTGAAAGTGGCGTGAGGCAAGCGTTGCTGTGGTCTGAGTTATTAGCGGTTCTCGACCTTCCGAATGCAGTGACCCTTTCATACATTTCCTTACGTTGTGGTGACCGCCCCCCCCAACCATAAGATTATTTCACTGCTACTTCACAACTGTAATCTTGCTACTGTTATGAATCGTAACATAAATATCTGATATGCGACCCCACACAGCCGTAGGGGCTGATGCGACAGGTGAGCGGGAGGGGGGTGTGTGTGGGGGGGGTGCTTGCTGCCAAGCCTGACAACCAGAGTTTGATCTCTAGGATCCATATGGTAGAAAGAGAACAAATTAAGGAAGTTGTCCTCTGACCGCCACACGCAGGGTGTGGCATAAACACACTAAACAAACAAACAAACAAATGTAAAATGGTGCCTTTAACCAAGTTACCAATGAGGTCTCATTACTGCTGTCATAAAGCGGTGATGATATCATCTCACATGGGAAGAAAGAATGATGCATACACCAAGTGCTCAGCCCAATACCGAGCACAAAGCATACACTGAATGGGGTCAGGCTTTTCTCATTCTGTGGGGCTGGTCTGTTTCAATGGAAGCCTGGATCAGCAGCCATGAGCTCCTTTATTGCTACTGTGACAGCAGAGTGGATGTCAGGGTCAAATAAAAGCCCTTTGAACTCCATTTTACACGTCCTTGACAATCCCTGTGTATACCGAAAGTCGTATGTCTTGGGGGTACCGATGAAAGCCTTCCTCAAATGCATCACAATACAAATGTCTGAAGTGAATACTCCAGCTGTCTACACAAGCTGAAGCCTCCATAAGCGACCATGGGTAAAGTCAGTCTGCGAGGACTAACGGAAGGGCAGGGAGGCAGGTCCCTCTGGCCACAAGTACCTTTTATTCCAAAGGTGGGGCCCTGAGAAGGCTGTCGCACACACGCAAAGACATTCTGATTCAGGTGGGCGCCGAGGGCTTGCACCAGCCCAATTGTGGTGGTACTTTTCCCTTCTCCCAGGGGTGTCGGAGTTATTCTTCAAGAAGAGAGCAAAAGACCATAGAATTAATGTCACTCGAATCACTGGACGCTCTAGAGATAACTCCTTACATAAATGAGAAGAAAAAGAGGCTAGAGAGATGGCTTAGCAGCTAAGGGCAATTGCTGCTCTTCAAGAGGACTGGGTTTGGGGCCCAGCACCCATGTACCTAACAAGCCACCTAGGCTTGCAGTCCCCTATAACTTAGCCCCAGGAGAATCCTATATGCTCTTCTGGCCTCTGCAGACGCACGTGTGAGCACACACACATACACACACACACACACACACACACACACACACAAAATATAAAGAAAAAAAAAAAGGAACAGAAACCCTGAGAGACCTTTTTCTGAGACTTGTTGTGATTTTCAAAAACTTAAAAACAAAAAACTGGGTCTACCAGATGACTCCACCACATCAAAGCCTTATCCTGAGTTCTATCTGGAACCTTTATAAAGGTGGAATGAAAGAACCAACTCCGCAAAACTGTCCTTCAACTTCCACACAAGCAGCCCTACGTGCATGTATATGTATGTACACAATAATGCGACTTAAAAGAACTTTAGCTCTACTCACTATAAGAAAGAAATATAATTGACACTTGACTCTGTTATCCTGTGATTTTAAAGTTCTTTTTATAAAAATTTACTTTCTATTTCATGTGTATGGGTGGTTTTGCCTGGATATGTACACGCATCACACGCTTGCAGTGCCTGTGGAGGCCAGAAGAGGGCATCAGATTCCTCGGGACTGGAGTTACAGACAGGTGTGAGCCTCCACATGGGCACTGGGAACTGAACCCGGGTCCTCTGGAAAAGCAGCCAGTGCTCTTAATCACTGAGCCATCTCTCCAGACCCCCCCCCCACTTTTATTTATTTTATTTATTTGTTCTTATTTATGTGTATGAGTGTTTGCCTGCATGCATGTAAGTGCACCGTATGAATGCCTAATGTCCTCGCTGCTAATGAGGCCATCAGATCCCCTAGAATTGCTTCTTTAGGAGTCTATGGGCACCTCCCACCCCAACACACACTCACTCACATGCACTCATAAATTAAAGAAATAAAACCTTAGACAAGAGATCTGGGTGGTGGTGGTGCACGCTTTAAATCCCAGCATTCTGGAGGCAGAGGCAAGCTGATTTCTGAAATCGAGGCCAGCCTGGTCTACAAAGAGAGTACCAAGACAGCCAGGGCTGTTACACAGAGAAATCCTGTCTCAAAAAACAAAACAAACAAACAAACAAGCAAAAACCACCACCAACAAAAGACTGAGCTAACCGCTCTTCCACATACGTGTCCTAAGTGTAAATGCCACCGCTGCTGATAATGGATATGCCGCTTGCTGGCAACGGGACATACGTACCCAGTCACTACCACGTATTTCCCATCGGGCTGGTGCTTCAGGCGTTCTAGTGCTGAGAGCAAGACTTTGGCCTTTGTTTCCCCGTATAATTCCACCTCCTCTGTGAGGAGCCCAATTTCTCGGGCCAGGTTACAGATGGGCTTTGGTTTGCAAGATCGTGATATATCAATGTCACTTTAAAAACACAAGGATGGGTGTCGATCTTTAGTTACTGCCTTGAATTAACCCCACTAGTAACAACCTCCCCCACCACCCATCTACTGCTGTCAGTAGAAGCAGCCATGGACCCACAGTACCCAGCAGTTAAAGCCCGACCAGCCACAAAGGAGTTCTAACCAAGGGCATTTCATTCTCACCTCGGAACAGGGGTCTTGAGGCTCAGCTTGTTATACTGAATTGTCCACTTTCCTGGCTTAAACTTCTGCAAGAAACGCTGTGCGCTCTCTACAGTGCTCTGGGCAAAGGGACAGACATGGAGATTGGAGAGTTCAACAGTCTGACTCCACAATCAGGTAAAAGGCCCAGTTCATCACAGTTGAGTCCCCAACTGAACCGGTTCATGATCACCCTTGTAAAACACCTCAACTAGGGATGAGTGAGGAGGTGCCATGCTCTGGGGCTTCTGTCTCACCCACATCAGCAAGCGGGTACCAGGCAGTGTGTCTCCACTTCAGGCTACATCCCAAAGGCTGTAGAAAGGGCGCCGCTTCCTCTGCTAATGTGACAGATACCATTTCTTTGTCCTCTCACCCCGTTTCCCCTCAGCAGACTCCATCTGCGCCTAACTTCTGAGCAGGTCTTAAGCGGTGTCTTCGGGACAATCAGAACTTCCCGTACCCTACCTGCATCAGCATTGCCACGGTCATGGGTCCCACACCACCGGGGACAGGTGTGATGAAGCTCGCCCGCTCCTTGGCCTCGTCATACGCCACATCGCCCACAACTTTCTTTCCGTTTGGTTTTGTATCATCTGGTTTGGAAGAGAAAGGGGAGAAAAAAGCAAAGGCCGAGAGTCACAACCAGGCTGTTAATCTCCAACTTTAGTGATTAACTATGGCAATTTGGTTGCCCCTCACCCCAGAAAAAAGGTCTACGTAAAATGTAAGCGTGCATTAGTCCCGCAAGGCTCAAGTGTCTACTTTAATTAAAGCTGCTGGACAGGGCCAGGCGCAGTTCAGTGGGAGAACACTGGTCCAGCATGCGTCAGGCCCTGGATTCTATCCCTAGCACCAATGTGAAATGGATGGCAGGTGTTCTCTATTTTCTAGGGAGAAAATTATATTCTCCCAAAGACCTCATGAGATGTGTAAATGGCAAGGAATGAAAATTAAAATAATTTAAAAGTAAACAAATTAAGATAAATCCTTTTTAAAGGGGGCTTTTCAGAGCCCAGAGAATCCTTTTGTAGTCTCCGGTGATAAATAAAATATGTGTTTTATTCTTAAAACTGACGACCTTTTAAAATGTTAATTTGCCAAGGCCTACAAAGGAATTTTTTTTTTTTTTTTTTTTTAGGTATACAAAGCTCCAACTATGTCACAGCTGCCAGATACGGTTTCTACAGCAACTGTCAGCAGTTAGTGAGCTCCAGGCAGAAGCTGAAGGAACAATTCAACATCCCGTTCCAAAGACAGCAGTTACTTAAATGCTTGCTCAAGGCAAAGAATATAATTACACTTCCCTTAAAAGGACCAGAACTACAAATCTCACCAGCAAAGAATAGTTATTCAAGGGAACAAACGCAGTGATGCACCATTGCTCACTCACACAAAGAGCATCCTACACCCTGCTCTGGTGCCCTTCCAGGCTATGCAGGGGTGGGGGGGGCAGGCCTAGACACTTAAGTCACCCCCGGGAGGGTCTGGTAGAATCGTAGCCACACTGCCACTTCTCTTTGAGGGTGTCTCTGTGGCCAAGAGGAAGTTTTCAGATGTAGCCAACAACAAAACAACCCAGAACCAAGAAGCCCTCTCACCAACTGCCCTCTGCCCTCGGAGGCTCCTCGTTACCTGTGGTCCGAAGATGCAAAGGCCTGATACACAACTGCTCGCAATTTTTTAGCTGCCGAGAGGCTAAAGCGGCACACTGGGACAAGAAAGATTCTCCTTGTCATCCTCAAAGCCATTTCAAAATGCTAAGGAGGTGGGAAGGATGGTTCATAAAGCAAAAGCAGAGCCATGGGAGCCACACCGGCTGAGTGAGTCAGAGCCCCAGAACCCACGTAAGACGCTGCATCCCTGTCGTTCCAACACTTCTAGGGTGAGGTGGAGACAGGAAACCAGGGGGCCAGCTAGTCAGTGGTATACAGAACAGAAGAAAGAAAACCACTCACCAAGGTGAAGGCAATAACCAGTTCCAGGAAGTTAGCCTCTGACTTTCACACACACCCAGAGCCTGTACACACCGACCAAACACTGTAAGAGCTGACTCAGTGACCTGCTGCCGGAGGGACAAGAGCCTCACAGATAATGTGTGGTCAGTGGGAAAGGAACCACTTATCAGCACTTCGGTTATCCATTCCTAACCCTAGACTCTCTCTGTCAATGGAAAGGTCCAAGCATAGAATTCAATGGAGTTTGATCTTGACATTTAATTTGGAGACCCCTAACTAAAGAGGCCAGTACAGAAGCTATTATACTGGGTGAGTGCAGATTAGATCTAGGCATGATAGGGAATCCCTTCTTTTCATATCCCTTCTAAATAAAACATCAGCGCTTCTCAAATTACTTTTTCTAGTAAGCCAAGCAGGAAAAACACATTCGTAAGTTCTGACCAATACTTTCCTCACTCTGCTTGATTCCTAAAACATATCCTTTTGAGGTGACTGGAGATGTGGCTCAGTGGCAGAGCATTGGCCCTGAATGTGCAAGGTCCTGAGTTTGATTCCCCAACCCTGCAAATCAACATTTAAAAACTAGAAAAACAGATGCATTAATGTATGCATTAATTCATTCATTTGTAAAGCGATGTATTCCTTTTATCTTTGAGTGGATCACACAAACAATTCTTATCTTTTTTTAATAAGATAAAACCTAGAGTCTTGTGCTTGCTAAGCTCTTGTCCTACTGCTGAGATTCAATTCTCGAGCAAACAATTTAAAAAATAGGAAGCAAGAGGTGGCCCAGGGGTGGACTAGATTGCTTCATCAAATGAAGACATTCCAAAAACAGTCTTCAGGTCCTAAAGCCTACCTCTGGCCTATAACCCAGGGATTTTACCATTCTCAGAGGACAACACAGTCTGGCCTTACTAAAATTTATGTGCCCCTATGCCTAGGACTGGTGAAAATACTGATGATGACCTATGCTATTTCAGCATTTACACGAGAAATCAATGTTGAGAAATCAAAAGTGTCAGACATATCGACAGAATTCTACATCCTGACCCAGGTTGTCTTTGTTGTTGTTTTATCTCTAAAAAGTAAATAAACAAATATCTCCCTCTCCCTGAAGTAATATGGATCAAACCCAGTATATAACACAAACTAAGTAAACTATCACTGAGCTGTACCCCCAGCCCATGTTTTTCTTTTCTATCTCACAGCTCATCTTTTTTTTTTTTCCAGTTTTTTTGAGACAGGGTTTCTCTGGAACTCCCTCTGTAGACCAGACTGCCCTCGAACTCACAGAGATCTGCCTGGCTCTGCCTCCAGAGTGCTGGGATTAAAGGCGCGCGCCACCACCGCTCGGTTTTTTTGAAACGCCCATAGTAGTTTATGATCCAGCGATGTATGGAGACTGAGCTTAGATGTCACATTGCAAGTGTTCACAGTGGGGAGATCAGGAGAGCAACTTCTTCCGCACCCGTTGGATAATTACACCCAGAAAATGAGTGATCAATTATGAGCTACTGTCTTAAAAGCGAGGCCGAGTGGGAGGGAGGTTAGAAACAGGGAGAACTTGACAGTGACTAATGCTCCTGGCAGCTCAGTGTCTGCATTTTAAACTTCAGATGGGAAGCGAGAACAAGAAAAAAATTATCCTTGCTGCAGCTCGCCTCAAGAATGGATCTGAGTGTTAGTGTCAGAAGGCAGGGTGCAGGACAAGGCAGCAACGAGACCACCGAGGAGCTGACTGCGGACACAGGACACAAGGCACACCCGAAACGCCAAGTGCTGCGCGACCAGAGCAAGGCGAGAAGGGTTTTCAGAAGACAAAGGTCATCCCTGGGTGACAGGAAATCAGATATGGCTTAGGAAGAACTGGCACAGAGAAGAGGAAGCTATTTAAATTCCAAATACAGAGGAGGGTGGTTGCTGGTATAGTTCAATGGGGGAGCACTTGCTTAGCGTGTACATGGTCCTGTGCTTAGCATGTACAACCACAAAATGAATGAATGAATGAATGAATGAATGAATAGGTGGAGCCCACAACTGGGCCATACTCACTCACAGAGCCTAAGGCCTGCCACAGCACTCAATGCACTGAAGTAGTTACTGAGTTAGTAACTGTTCCTTTCATCAGTTAGTGCGCGCGCACACATATATACGTAATACACGCACATATGTATATGTATATGTATGTGTGTGTATGTGTGTGTGTGTGTGTGTGTGTGTGTGTGTGTTCGTGTTCCTGTACTGTTCTTGGAAATTCTTTTGAAAGAACAACGTGCCGCACGCACAGACAGGAGATATAAAGGAGATGGTTCAGTGGGTAAAGGCGCTTGCCACCGAATTTGATGCTGGAAGTTCAAACCTGGTAAGTGGGGGTTACCAACAGACTAACAAGCAAGTAGTGTCGTTAGTTAGCATGGACACAAGTGACAAAGGTGTGGTTCCTGTCCCAAGAAGGAAGAAGCGGGACAGAGAAGGGTGGCCCAAGAGTTCATCAAGCCACTCGGGATGGCAAACGATTTAAAATTCATGAACTGTTGAGGTGTGGTGGTGCTCGCCATTAATCCTAGCACCCTGGAGGCAGAGGCAGGCAGATCTCTGGGAGTTCAGGGCCACCCTGGTCTATATAGTGATTTCTAGGACGGCCATGACTACAGAGTGAGACCCTGTCTTAAAAACAACCTCACTGACTGTTTAGCAGTACTTTTCCATTCAATATTTTTGGATCACAGTTGACCATGAGTAACCGAAACCAGGGAAAGCAAGATCATCAATAAGGGAAAACTAGTGTAGCACATCATTTTCGTCTATCTGTTGCCGCTGTTAAAATAAAGGGTGACTGTTACATGAAGGTAGAACAGCAGCCAGATGAGCACACCCACAGTCCCAGCATTCAGGAGGCCGGCACAGGACAACCGTGAATTCAAGGCCAGGTTTGACTATAGGAGGAGACTGTATCTCAAATAAATAAACAGACAGACAGACAGACAGATAAACAGACAAACAAGCAAGCAGTAATACACCTGCCTCCTCGTCCACTCTCTCTGGACTAAGTCAAATGAGGACAGTATAGAACAGTGGGGAGCCATACCTCTGACCCCAGCTCACAAACGGGACAGCTCACAAACGACAACTACTCACCTCCTGACAAGGCCCGTCTCACTAAGCCCCGGTACTTGACATAACATGAGGTAGGTCTGAAGTTTTCCCGCCCCAGCACGACTCACCGGGAACGTAGTTGATCCCACAGTCTATGACGACAGCCCCGGGCTTGATCCACTCCCCTTTCACCATCTCAGGCTGCCCCGTTGCAACTACCAGAATGTCTCCTTTATTTACCTAGGGGAGGGGAGGGGAGCAAGACTTCAGGAACTCAGTAATCACACACACACACACACACACACACACACACACACACACACACCTAGAAGTGGAAAGGAAAAGCCTGAGCTGTGGTATTAAATCTTGAGTTATCAACAACACTTTCAGGGATCCTGGCTAAGGCCTCCAATGCAAAGCACAGAGCCGTTGCTGACCCACCCCATGCTGGGCTCAGTCCTGTAACGCCAGAAGCCCCCTTTCCTAGTTATTTCCCCTAACGGGAAAGGCAATGAGAACCTGTGGGGGCTGGGGGAGCACAGGTCTGGAGCCAGACTCAGGACAACGTTCCTGGTTATGTAACCCTGGAGAAGGCACTCTCTTTTCTGGGATTCTACCACCGTCACCACAGAACGGTTTAAGAATACTAAAGAGGGGGTGACAGGCCTCCATCTTGTTCTCTGCCCACATACAAAACTACACCACTCACAAGGACATGGCCGTGCGAATGAACATTCTTGGATCAGGAATACAGCGTTCAAAACAAGCCGCTGGAGCTAAGGATGTAGCTTAGTGGTGAAATACCACCCTCCTGTAAGGGGTTCAACTCAGCCTAACCACAAAAACAACACTAATAAAGCAACGGAAAACAGGCAGCTGAAGATGCCCACAACCTCTTCTCGAGTGCCTCCATCCCCACGGGCCAACAACATCATGCCTGGGTGATCTGCACATGACGTAATTTCACTGCCTGGCATTATTCCCTGCATAATACTGCTAAACCCTATGTGCCAAGGGGCAGAGTGGTGTAGAAAGTACATGGTCAGAATGAGCTGGATAAACAAATGTGGGCAAGTTCGTGATCTGAATGTGTTCCTTCCTCCTATAAAGTGAGACCAGAAACACAGAGTAGTTGCTGGGGCTAAGGGAGAGAATGTACCCACGCACGCAGGTTGCCTACTGTACTCTGGACCTCCTACCTCTTTGTCCAGATTGGCAGTCTTGGAGTGGCAGGTGGTCACTGTGGCATTGTTCCACAGAAGCAGGTCATGCATGGGGGCACCAACTATTTTACTCCGCCCAACCACCACAGCGTGCCTGCCGGCAATCTGCACCCCTGGAAGAAAAGCCAGCAGGCATCAGAGGTGGAGAAGCAGCTGCCCTCCCTCACACACGCCACCCGAATGGGAGACAGAGCCTAAGCGCCTAGGAGCAGATTCTTTGCAACATAACAGAAGTCTTCCTAAGAACGCTCCCTCGGCCATCACATCCTCAGTTCCAGGCACAGTCTGGGACTTGGACACTGTCCTTCCTGCAGTGGAGTTTGGAGATCTGCTTAGGCCGAGATCTGTTCATTGAGTCATAAGGGAGTGGGAAGAAATCCTACACTCAAAAAAAGAAACCTCGACACACAGCTAACGGCCATATGGAAGTAGTTATCAGATTAAACTACATGAGCAAAATAGTCAAGAAAACTATGGTGTATGGAACAGGGTCACAGCATTGGAGGAAATTAGATTAGTATCAGTGAGGCTTTCCAAAGTTGGCGAATGTATTCATACAGTTTCTCATCCAAAGTTCTGTCTGGCTTAGGGCCGGAACCACAGGGTTATTTGCAGGGAAGTGATAATGGGAACTGTAAGTGATGGGAAAACCTTTTTGCTGACTCAGCACTTACGCTTCTGCCACAGCATCAACACCTCCCCACCCCAGTGCTGGGGACCAAACCCAAGGCCTCAGGCATGGGCTCTTCCACTGAACTATACCCTGAGGCTTGTTTTTATTTTGAGATACTCTCAGTTGCCTGCTTTAGCCCTGATCATTCTCTCCATAGCTCAGCCTTGAACTCACGGTCCTGCCTCATGGATCACCAGGCCCACTCTACTAATGTGCTTTTTCGGCACTGATACCTGCTGTCCCACAGAGGTGACGCGTGCTCTACCTCAGCCCTGGTCTATGAGATGCAGCCCATGACTGTGAGAAAAGAGCAGGGTGGGAGCTGTGTGGGGTTACCAGGAGGGGGCTGAAAGGGAGCTGCCCACACAGAAGGAAGGAGAGAGTTCGGCAACACTCTGCCCGGCCACCATATCCCATCAAGGCTAAAAAGCTATGAACCTTTGCTTGAGGCAGCTTGAGAGTTAAACCACATCTCTCAATAATAATACTCTGACATCTCATCATCAATAATCAATGTCATCAGAAGGCCAGCACTTAGAGAATGTCAGTGCTGTGACTATCCAGACTAGAATTGGAGTCCTCACAGTTTGAAACGATGAACAGGTGCATTGGTGGGTTGGAGGCGTGGCTCCACTGTAGAACAGCCGACTAGCATGCCGGAGTCCCTGGGTTTCATCCCCAGCACTGCAAACCAATCACTATCAATCAATCATCTTACTGTACCAGTGAGGATTCAGCAGAGAGCTGAAGCTACCTTAGGGCTCCAGTGGCTTCACTTGTGAGACACTGGGAAGCCACAGCTGCTGTAGCTCATGAGAGTCGTTTCTATAAAGCTGTAATAAACATTGGCTAAACAACTGGAAGAATATAAATTGTAGGTCTGAACTGTCACAGCTGGGCCAAGGCCACTGGCTCGACCGTTGCTGGCCAAGAGCAGACAACTTTCATTACTAACGCTGGCCAAATGCCTCACTTGAAACTTCTAACCTACTTCTTTCTAACAGGACTCATTTCCTTGCAAAAAATAAACTCTGCTAAAAGTATTCATGATGGAACTAAAATACGAAGGTACTAGCTATATAATAAAGTAATGTAGGGCGACTGTTCACGAGATCCGTTCCAGCCATCTGTCTACTGCTGGAACCACGGTAGGGACTTGGTGCTGGCTCCAGGGACAGGA